AATATCTTATCTGGTTTATAAAAAATCAAATTATAAATATAAACAAGCTAGTATTGTATAAATTTATATATTATAATTATTGAACAATCAAATTATATTAAACTTATTGCAAATTATTTTCTAAAAAGCTTTTTATTATTATTATTATTAATATTATAACAATGTATTTGTTAATTTCTAAAATATTTTTGCAACATTTGAGCAAAAAATTTTTACGACAATAACACAAAAAAATATTACTGTTTATAATGTCTTCATATAACTGATATCTCCGGGCTATGACTGATAGCAAACAATTTATTAAAAATAGTAAATTATTTTTAAAGAATTTTATTTATGGAAAAATTACAATATCTTGAAGCTATAGAATATTTTATACAATACTATATATATATTCTCTATAATAATAATAATAATAAGTATTTGATATATACTATATTATCATTCAATTTCATTTATACATTACATGCATACATACAGTACATTAACAAATGTTATGATGACGTAAAGTAAATATTAGTTTGGGTATCTACACATTAATTACTATACATATATTATATACTGAATATAGCAAACTGTTTGCCATTAATTTAGATAAAATGTTAGCAATTTTTATATATGTAAAGAATGTTTAACTTAGACACACATAGAGAGAGAAAAAAAAATTATTGAAGAATTTATTTTTAAAACAAGAGTTAGTGTTCACTAAATTATTAAATGAGATGTTGTACAGTATGTGTGATAGACAACACACACACACACACACACATATATATATATATATACATACATACACACACACACACACACACACACTCACACACACATACATACACACACACACATACATACATACACACACACATATACATACATACATACATACATACATACATACATACATACATACATACATACATACATACATACATACATACATACATACATACATACATACATACATACATACATACATACATACATACATACATACATACATACATACATACATACACACACACACAATACATAGACAGACAACACACACACACTCACTCACAAATTGAATCATTGCATGTGTGAAGTGCTAACAATGCCAACAACAGTGCCTTAAAACAGTGTGTGTATGTGTAATATACAGCTAACATGTCATTAAATATTATCTTTGAATTACTTTCAATAAATAGACAGTGCGTCTAAACTACTAAAGGACTAAAAGTATTGAAGATAATTAATGTTTTGTTATTTTACAATTTGCAATTCACTGGAGGTCTATATAGTATTAATCGTTATACCGTTACTCCGTCAACATTGCACTGGCATCTCTCTCTCTCTCTCTCTCTCTCTCTCTCTCTCTCTCTTCATACATATGGGTTATCAATGATAGTTCAGTAGTGTTTGAGCTCAGTTATGTAGAGCTCAAATGGTAAGTCCAACGTTAAGCCCAATGAGTTGCTGCAATCATCTTCTAATGCAATATTCTTGTTTTAATGCAATCAATTGAATGTCCCCTTTAAATAATATATAAAATATATATATATATACAAAACATCAGGTATAGCGTTATAGGTAAAGCCTTATAGAAAATACCATACAATCTTTACAGAGTTTATAAGTAATGCCAAAATAAACAGCAAAATGTTATACCAAATAGACTAACGTACTAAACAGGTATATATATATATATGTAGAATATTCTATATATAATATACAGTATATGACTATACAGTATAGATATACTGTATTTTATATTGATATATATATATATATAGAATATTCTACATGTTTAGAGTTTATAGACTATACATGTATATATATATATACATATATATACAGTATCGTATAGTTCATGGCTTACTACTACTACTACTACTACTACTACTACTACAGTATACTGTTTTGGAAACTATACGGTCTAAACATAATAAGCTGTGAGTCTTGTATTTTTTAGTTACACTACTTGTTATACAGTATTACTGTTTGGTATATATATATAAACTGTATATATTTTATACACTATTTTCTTTTCTACTATTTTTTTATTATTGCTTTTTTTTGTTGCTCTCACTTTCGTTGTCTAAGTAATTGTGTTGAGCACACATAGACTATATAACAGTAGACTACTCTCTATATATAATATTAGTCAGACTTTCAAGTTATACATGTTATTATTGAATTCAATTTATATTAGTTTTACTATACATTACTTACTACTCTCTTATCTCTCACTATATGTTTTTTTTAAATATATATAATGTATATATCTTTTATCAATTGTTAACTAAATGCTAGAGTAAAAGTTCACACATCCAAACCAAAAAAAATTATCATACAATTATTGGAAGTAATTTTTATCAATTTATTTATTTATTTTTTAAAAATTTCCTCTAATGATGTATATATATAAATGAAGTGTTATGTCAATTAATAATGATTATCTAGTTGTCTATATTAATGCATACTCATATTAATATTATTTAAATGATTTAAAAAATAACTATTTATTTATTTATATCGGCACCTAATCACACACACACACACACACACAATAATTATACTTAATGTTTGTATCAATTTATATATATATATATCAATAAAATGATTAATGAAATAATAATGAAAGTTTATCAAATAAAATAAATAGATATATTTATATTACAGTATTATATAGTAAAAGAAAATTAAATATAAATTATTACTATCATGAATCATATTATATATATACAGTATATAAAACAAGATTTTGTTATGCAAACACTTATATTATTATTATTATTTTATTAAATGTAAAATATAATATACTGTGTTAAATTACAAAAAAAAATAATTAGCTATTTAAACTATAGTGTTAATAATAAAACAAAATTTTTAATCAACTACTACAACTAATTTAGACACTTTTTGTTGTTTATTTTGCAATTACACACTTGCAATAAAACTCAATGCTGTTCAACATTGCATTAAAAGTTGTATCGTATTATATATATATATATGTAAAATAAGATTAAAAAAAATTATTATTGAAACATATACTATATCTTATTGTCAATAAATGTAATCAAACAATGAATTAGCTTAAGTTAAACAAATATTTGATAAACACATACATACACACACATAATAAAAAAAAGATAAATAATTAAAAATAAAGCAAAACAAATTGTTTTATTATTATAATAATAGACTACATAATAGTCTAGTAAAACAACATGACATGGTGTCATTTAAAAATAAAATGTTTCACCATGCTCAAACATTGCATATACATTACAGTATATATATTGTATATATTATACATTATTGTACATTTGATAATTAAATTGAAATTTTCGGCTCTAATAAAATAAATGATAGTTTTAGTGTGTATTTAAAAAAGTGATAAACTATGCATTGAATTCCCAAAGTATTGGTTCACTAAATTTATAATTGAGTTGAAGTTTAAGCTAAAAGTTTGAACATATATACAGTATATATATAGAGAGAGAAAAGAGAGAGAGAGAGAGAGAGAGAGAGAGAGAGAGAGAGAGAGAGAAGCATCACTACACCAGTTACTACTGACAATAAACTGTATGTACATATTATAAGTTATTATAGCTACACATACACATACACATACACATACACATACACATACACATACACATACACATACACATACACATACACATACACATACACATACACATACACATACACATACACATACACATACACATAATGTTAAGCATATATATATATTGTATCATATTTTTTGACTAAAAGTGTACGTAAAAATAAAACTAACGGTGTATGAGATGATGCAGTATATGAGCTATTGATATAATAGCTAACAAATATATATATATATATATATATACTGTATATATCTATAGAGTATATTGTATTATAAATGTTATATAATATGTGTAGAGCAAACTGTATTGTTTACATGGAAACGGTAGGTATAGTTCATGCGCTTACAGCTATAGCTATACACAGCAATATTGTCATCCTTACACAGCGTCTGTATCTCTCTAATGTTGTACCGTATATATCATCCAACTGTGTGTATGGTATGGTATGTATGTATGTATGCGTTTATTGTGCTCCTATGTGTTAGTGTTGTTGAACTGGTATACAGTACAACATATAGACAGCACACACACACACACACATACACTGACAGTATAGCTATCACTTGGTTTTTTGTTGGTGTGTCTCATATAAGCTAACAGTGACTGACTGACTGACTATCAATGAGTAGCCACTCTATCATCACATTGAATGCATCGTAAAGTTTTCATGTAATTGTCATTTACTTAATTTAATTGTTTTCATCGCATCATTTTGTCTATCATTAACTCTATTATTAAAAAAAATAAGTTATAGCTATTCATTGATTATTATTACTGATACAATATATTCATCAAAAAAATATATATAATTAATTTATTTCATGGCACTACTACTACTATATAAAAACATATTGTATTTGTGAAAAATTAATGTTATTATATAATAATAATAATAAATGACAGCACAGTGTAGTTCAATATATATACAGTATTTGTATATTATATACAGTACTGTATATTGTGTGTGCAATTTATTTATAATTTCTTTATATAAATAGTAATGTTATTTAAACTAATCAATTGTTTTTAAAAGATAATAACTTGAATTGATTATTATTATTATCAATTGTGTTATTACATATACTGTACTGTTATATATAAAAACACTAAACGGATATAAAGTATTAGGAAAAGTTACTAATAATAAATAATACACAAAATAAAAGGGATTAAAAGTTATTCAAATACTTATTAATAAATAGATTGAGATTTATTAGCAAATAGACAGCTAATGTGTGTGTGTTTTATGTATTTTAAGTATTTTAAGTACTAATATACTAATAATGAAAACAATAATAACTACAATGAATATGTATATAAAAAATTATAAAATTCATGTGATTTATGTGCTTATGTTGATGTCATCAAATCATTTATGTCTTGTGGGATGTGTCGCACCGGCACTACAATCACAATCACCTGCCAGTGCTGATAGCATTGCTGGTAAGTGCCACACATTTGCCATTTATATATATATACAGGATATGTATAAATAAATATTTTATATATATACAGCTATAAATATATATGTATATAAATTTAATATGATTTGAAAAATTCAAATACATTTGCAATCAGTTATTCATAACTCGTGTCTTAACAATATACTATATATCTATATATATATATATATATCTAAACATATTAAGCATATTTTTTGTGTGTATATCTCTAGTGTCGACAAAAAAAATAAAAATAAAAGAGATTTTCTTCTTTTAGTTAAAATCAATGTTTCGATCAGTGAAAACAACTCTTCCTATAAATAATATAAAAAAAGAGATTTGCATTTCTTCGTCAAAATTTATTTTTATGATTTTGTTGTTGTTGTTGTTGTATATAATTTTGATGTCTTTTGAATTTTTCATTGTTTTTATATTCGCCAAAAAAATAAGAAAGAAATTCATATATACATTAACATATAGTGTAGTATAGTATATATATATATATATAATGTTTATAAAAATTTTGATTCATATAAATAAATAATTATATATATATATATATATCTTTTATATTTCACATGATGTCTATGTTTGTTGATTTTATCAATAACTCAAATATATAAAAATGTTGATATACACTGTATATGTATAAATTATATTTATATTACTTATTAATATATTACAATATATATATATATATATATATTATATACAAATTTATATATTCATAATTTGAATCAATCCAAACAGCAGTTATGTTTATTATTTTTATATTAATATATTAATAATATTTGTTTATTTCCAAAAAAATGTTTTATTACAATATATATATAAGCCGTTTCTAAAAACTAAAATCAACAAATAATAATACATTATTATTATTATCTATTAATACATTAGAATAATACTAATAATAAGTATTAGTTAGTTTTGAATTTTAGTTTAAATATTTATTATTAAAGAATTTGTACATTTTTAAATATTTAGTTAAATTATTATCCAAATTAATCAAACTGTATTATACTGTAAGTGTTAAAGCTATAAAATTAAAAATAAATTATTATTGTTAGTGATATACATGTACCTATTATTATTATTACAATAGCACAATCATAACTAATGTTTACAATTTTTTTCGTGTAAATTAATTATTATTTTTTTGAAATTATAAACCACACCAAAGTATAGTAAAAATAAAATATTTAACCAAATAATTTTTTTATTAATAAATAAAATTTTTTTAAAAATTTATGTTAGTGGAAAAAAGTGATAATTGGGTGGTCGTCCCAAACCCACCCCCTTGGTTATGTTGGTGACCATATAGATATATATATATATATATATATATAATGTCCATCCTGTGTGATCATCCCTATGTTGTTATTGATAGCTATCTCTCTTTTTATACACAACTATACTGTCCTCCTCTATATATACGGTATAATAACTTATATACAGAATGGTGTATGTCTTTAGTGATCGATTGTGTCGACAAATTAATATCAATTTTTCTCTTTTCTCTCTCTCTCTCTCTCTCTCTCTCTCTCCATTCACTCACTAACAAACCTAACTTACATTCACTGTTTCACTCATTCATATAATGACTACAGTAGTCACTCAGTGTCTCAGTTACTCACATATATATACTCTCAATCTCTAACTGTAAGTGAGTTTTAGTATTAGTTTTCTTCCAGTGTTTCACTTTTCTCTCATCTTTTCTTTTATTTCTCTCTCTCTCTCTCTCTCTCTCTCTCTCTCTCTCTCTCTATCATGTCTTCTTAAACTTGATGTTCATATAGTAGTAGTTATACTCAATATTATATATATATATTTATATATATAAACACAATATATATGAGATTTTACTGTTTATAAGTACACTTGTGTTCACTCTTTTCTGTAATATTTTGTTTCCTTTAAATGTTTTGATAAGAAATGAATGCATTCTTACAGAAAATATATTTAAAAATAATTTATATTTTTATGTTTCGCTTAGTTTATCATGAATTCAATGAATTCAAACATTTTTTGATCTTTAGCTTAATATTTACAGTATTATTATTATTATTATAAATTTAATTTAAATATTTTTATAGCACTTTTATTTAATCTTTTATTTGTTTTCAAATTATTGTTTTGTGTAATTTAAATATATATATTATATTTTAACAGTAAATTATACTGTTTTGTAACAGAAAATTAGTTTTATTTTTAACTATTCACTTAAATAGATATTTATTTGAACAGCACTTTACTATTAATAAAAAAATATAAGTAAATATTTTTTCAAGAGAAATATAAAAAAATCAATAAATTAATAAATAGATCTCATGTATACAACAATAATAACAAAATATACTTTAAAATACTTAATTCATACTTCAAAAAAAATTATTAGATAACAAAATATATTTTTTTCAACAAAATTTTTGGAATAAATTTTTTTTTTACTTTTTTCTATTAATACCGTATACGATAGCAAATTAATTATATATGAATTAAATTTTCAAAATGCAACATGATAGAAATAATAATAATAAAAAAAAGTTAAAATTATAATCTAATAATAATGATAATAAAAAAAACCCTAAAAGATTTAGATTAACTGATTATAGACTACTATAAAGTCAAATCAATATATTTAGTGGTTAGGCATCGAAATAATGTTATCATATTATATCATATAAAGTATAAGTTACAGTATATACCATACATTTATCAAATTTCAACAATTTTCACTCTAATAAATCTTTAGATTTTTAACTATATATTGTAGAATAGTCTCTCTCTCTCTCTCTTTCTCTCTCTCTCTCTCTCTCTCTCTCTCTCTCTCTCTCTCTACTCACTTACTCACTCACCCGCACATAGACTTTCTATGTCTCAAACAGACATCAATTTTTTCTTATATAACTTCATGAATCATTTGTATGTGTGTGTGTGTGTGTGTGTGTGTGTGTGTGTGTGTGTGTCTATAAGTCTAAAGCAATATCAATGATATCAATCTACTAATGATAATAATAAATGTTAAATGAAAAAAAGTGATATGTATTAATCGTTTCATTTAATTTTTTAAATTTGCCAAACAATTATTATTTTAAATTTAATATTTTGTTGTTGTTGTTATTTAGTCGTTATTAAAAGTGACAGTTTATTTTAAAAATTAAACAAAACTTGTAGACATGTAGTCAACTATAATAATAATAATAATAATAAATATAATTCCTAACAGACTATATATATACTGTATATATAATATATGTGTAGTATATGATGAAAAAAAAAACAAAATTCAGATATAATAATAAAATTGAGTGAACACAATGCAAAAGTAAAATAAAAATTTGGCAAATGGTTGATGTGGTGGTCACACAATAAATTATATCTAAAATATAATAGTAATTGTGATTTTTCTATATTTTCTATATATATATATTGCTATAAATATATATCTGCTTTATTCAATATTTTTCTAAACTATACTCTCTTTTATATGTAATTTAATACAATACAGTACAGTAGTGTTGATGTATTACACTTTGATTGTATTAAATGTATTATACGATTAAATCGGACGTAGCATTTGAAGCACTATTACTATTATTATTATTATTATTATTATTATTATTATTATTACTACTACTACTACTACTACTACTACTACCATACAGTATAGTATATGTTCATTATTTTTGTTATTTACAAGTGTTAAGAAAAATATATATGATTTTTCTATTGACTACAATATATTTCTAATAATTTATATGAAAAAATACCCACAATTACAAACTAGTTGTACTGTATATATTGTACAGTTGATATAATAATATTATAAATTGTATTATATAATATATTTAGATATATATATATATGCACTTAACTTTTTTATATATGCACATCTAATTTATTGACAATAATCATTAATAATAGAGAGTATTACATATTTAAGACATATGCATCATATTTTATATATATTAATATATGAATCATAGACTTATATAATAATAGTATTATAAAGACAGATATATTTATACCGTAAATATTAAATTAATGATTTCATATTTATAAATATAAAGTTAGATATGTTATATAATGTTATATATATATAAATCTAAGCATTTTCAATTGATTGTTTTATAAATATATGACATTTTGTTTATAAAATTAGATTTATTAGTTTTTTTAAACTCTAATATTTATATATGCTTTATATGTTACACACATAATAGCTAATTGTACTAAAACATATTTATCAAACAAACAAAAAACTATCTATTATAATATATATAATTTTTATAAATTAAAAAATAATATATATACTATACATATATATATAATTCATAATATTGTTTGACATTTATGTTGGATATTAATAAATTAATATTTAGTTAATAAATAATACATTAATTAATTTAAACAAATCTAATAACTATAAATTATGATAAATCATTAATATCTAATTACAATATTACCTATGAATTTATTTTTAATAATTATTAGTTTTTTTATACATTATTGATTTTTCTATATTTATTATTTAATATTATTTAGTACTATAAATTATATACAGTTCAGAAAAATAAGTTTATATAAATATATTTATACTTGAATAAGTTAATATTAAAATCTTTTAATATTAAAATTTATTTATAAAAATTATAGATTTAAAATAAATTAAAAATTTAATTCAAATGGATTATTAATCTTATTAATAAAAAAATATATTAGTTTTTTAAAAAAAAAAAATCATTATTAATTTAGATTTTAAAACTTAATTACGGATTAATRTCTTTTTTATACATAAAGTATTTTTAAAATTAAAATATCATTAATTTTTTTAAAAATTCACTAGCTATAAGCTTATTTAAAATAGAAAATAATAATTGAATATTTGCAACTATAAATATAAATTTTAATAATATTTTTTTGTTAGTTTTTTGTCAAATATTTTTTTGGGCTTCAAATTCTAAGAAAAATACAAATAAAATATTTTGATTGTAATAA